CTTCTCCTAGATATATCTTCATTATGACTAAGTAGTCTCACTTTCCTTAATATAGAATCAATAATATAAGTCTTTATGCTCCATGTCAAAAGAATTTTCATTTAAAATGAAATTTTTAAATGAGATTTCATTTGGGAGTTTCAAAATTAAAGGTTGAGAGAGAGAAACTCTCTCTCAACCTTTAATTTTGAAACTCCCAAACTCTCTTAAATAAAGCTGCTGTGCAGAAAAATAAGTTGTGCGCTTAAACCTCACCTTTTGCCTGTGAAAGGGTACATTAATCTCATTTATATCATTACAATAATATGTTTAATATATCATATTATAATTGTTGTAATATATCATATCATGGATCTGATGTGTCTGATCTTATAACCTCTCCCAAGAATAAGGCAGAACTATTTGCAAAGAGTATTTCCTCTGCTTATTTCTTGAATGGCCACACTCTTCTTGTCATCTCAAAGAAACAAGTTAATCCATTGTTAGACATCCAAATCACTCCTGTTTTTATTAAAGTAGTTTCATACTTAAGCTCTTCTACAGCTTGTGGTCCAGCAAACAATTTGTCTTCTACAGCTTGTCTCTTCTACAGCTTCATATTTGAATTCTTATATAATAAACTTCTAATATCTCCAATCGAGTCTAAAAAATTACTCTCTTGCTTCGTGTATCTGGCAAAGTTTTTAAAATTGAATCATTCCTTTCTAATTGCAGTATTATAGTTGTTGTTCATAGATAACACTCTCATTCATTTCTAGTAATGTCTGGGAAGCCTGCGTTGTTCTTCAATTATATTAATGATCTATCACATAATCTTTTCTCTAATCCAACTTGATTTCCAGCTGAATTTTTTATCATTATACTCACAACTATAACTTTTGATCACTTAGAGCAGTCAATCTTAAAACTGATCTTTCATCATTTCATGTGGCAGTTCGGGGCTTGCAGTGGTTGAAGAAATTTAACCCAAACAAAATTATTTACTGAAGATAATTATTGCAATATTCTTATACTCATAAATGACAATATTGTTATATTGATAAATGACATTATTCTTATACTGATAAATGAAAATGTTCTTATACTGATAAATGACATTATTCTTATTAAATAATACAAAATTATTTACTGCTAACAATTATTGCAATATTAAATAATTATTCTTATTAAGTTAAATAATTATTTAATTTAATAATAATTATTCTTATACTGATAAATGATAAATCACTCTTACTGAGTTCTCTACTTTACTTCATATGGATGTTGTTCAATAAAGAGTAAGCTGCACAAGGAAGTTTTTTTAAATAATAAAAAGTACCAAGTTTGTGTATGCGTTTGTGGTTTTTTTTTCATCAAAATATACTTGAATACACAAAGGGAAACACTTAGGAAGAATATATATACCATTAATTATCTATTATTTTTACCACAAAATTAATCTTTAGCTAATTCTAAATTAGATATGTGCTCCACTTTTAACATACTTCTGGCTTCTGACTGTAGCAACACATGCTTTATTGTGGTTTCAATAAGTGTGCAATAAAACTTTGACTTGAATTTGCTTTTAGTCTTTCTGTCATTTTTTGTACTCTTTTGTATCCACGAAGTGTGGATCAACATATCTTTATCCATGGAGTGTGGATCAACATATCTTTATCCACGGAGTGTGGATAAACATATCTTTATCCACGGAGTGTGGATCAACATATCTTTTTTAAAGTATAAAAATTTATTATGTTGGGAGTTGTATTGAAAGGTGTTTTCCATCTGTTATGTTCTTCTATCTATATAAGTGGTTCATTATTAGGTGCTTCAAAAAATCTTATTAGTCTAATTTTTTTCCTCGAAAAACCAGTTCTTTGGAATTTGCTCACTTCATTTTGTTTCCCTACTTTATATAATTTGAAAAACTTTATCTTTTCTCTTTGAATAACTCCCAACTCTAATAGTGGTTGTTTTCAGCCTTGTTGGAAATAAAAAAAATAAAAAAAAGATATGGTGCTGACACAAGAGTCAGTTAACTGTTTGTTCAAAAACTCTGACCATTGCGTTACGATTAACATTAGGACTATGATTGCTCTTGATTTCTTTTCTGTGTTTAAAACTTCTCAGGACGTTCAGCAATCAAATTCTCAGATATATCAAAATGATTCAGAGCCAGATTCTGGATTCTCATTACAGAATTCACCACCGTGAAAACCTAAACAAAGTTTTATCTCAATCAAAGTATTCATTTTGACATTATAATATTACATTAATAATATATTTTTAGTGCATACACATAACACTTAAGTTTAGCTTTATTATAAAATATGACTGCTTTGTAGGGATACACAAATTAGATACATACGAGACATTTTAATAATTTTATCAACTTGCAATCTAAAAACACATGTTGTTACAATCTAAAAATTAAAATATTAAAGCAATATCAGGGTGGCTACAGCTCCTCTAAGATCCTTTTTTTTTTCAAAAAAGCTCCTCTAAAATCTCCTATTGTCCTCTAAAAAGTTAAAAATGTGATCAAATCTCCTTCAGAACTCCTTTATTTTTATTTTTTTATTCCTTGATGGTAATATAATGTTAAATATTCATGTTCTGCAAAACTGGTTAATGTCTAAAATGAGTATTGGGTTGTAAAAAATCAATTTTAGTAAATCTACGTCATTTAACATAAAAAAATAATATTATTGACTCATGTCCAAACCCCAAATATGTAGAAACTTGGGCGTTTAACCTCTGAAAAAAAAAAATATTTTTTTTAACATCTTCGCTTCCAACAAGGCTGCAAACAACCACTAATTAGTGTTGGAAGTTACTGGAAGAGAAAAGATGAAGATTGTAGAGCAAAATAACGATTGACAGACGACTTAAAAGATTGCAAATTATATGAATCAGGAAAGCAAGATGAAGGAAGCGAATTCTAAAGAACTGATGTTCGAGAAAAAAACTAGACGAATAAGAGTTTTTGGAGCACTTAAGGACAGTAACAGAAAAAGGATGAGACTTAATGAATGACGAGTAACACAAGAATGAATTTTAGTAGATGGCACAAGAGACGCTAGCTCTTTAGAGCAGTGCCCATTATAGTATTTGTAGAAAAGAGAAAGAGAAGCAACATTACGACGATGCGATAAAAGTTGAAGGTTCGCTGCAAGAGTAGGTCCAACTATGTTTACAATACGTTTTTACACCTTATCTAAAAGAGAAAGGACATCATTAGATGATCCTCCCCAGATATAGCAGCAGTATTCCATACAAGGCCGGATTTGAGATTTATAGAGATAAAGAATAGAATCAAGAGTAAGAAAGTGTCGAGCTCAATAAAGAGATGCAACTTTAACAGATGCTAATTTTGCAATAGATTTGATATAAGGTTTCCAAGAAAGATCAGAAGTAAGAATTAATCCTAGAAGATGAAGGATAGGAGACTCATTGAGTACATTACCGTTCATAAATATAGGAAGGTCTAAATTATTACGATAACAATTGGCTGAAAAAAATTGAGTTTTATCTGAATTAAAGTTCACCAGCCACTGTGAGCCCCATGCTGTAGCAGAAGTGAGATCCTTTTCAAGCTCAGATGCCCCTTGCAAGCAATCAGAGGGAGTTGGCTTCTTATTGTGACAAGAATAAATGGTAGTATCATCAGCGAACAATGCCACCTTAGATGTGAGAATATCTGGAAGATCGTTAATGTAAATTAAAAAGAGTATAGGGCCAAGGATTGAACCTTGAGGAACCCCTGAGGTTACAGAATAAGAAGAAGAGTGCTGTCCATCAAGAACAACTTTTATACTACGATTGGAAAGGAAGGATTCAATAATCTTAAAGATGTTTCCAGATACACCGTAAGAAGAAAGCTTATGGAGAAGACCAGCATCTCTGTTCTCTGAAATCTTCCAGATCAGCATCTCTGTTCTCTGAAATCTTCAATTCTTATTCAAAATTTTGTAGTTTTGTAAAAAAAATTCTCTAAATTAAGTGCAGAATCTCCTCTAAAATCCTGTAATATTCTCTTTTTCTTATAAAATTTTATGTGGTCACCCTGAATATTACCTTCAGATTGGAGTTTTTAATCTTCTGATTGACTCTCTGCTTATTCTTAGTTCTGTGACATTTACTTTAAGATTTACAATGCTAAAGATTGATACCAGATCTCCTATATTTACCAGCTCTTCTAATTTACTTTAATAGATGACCAGATCTGTGTCTATCAAATATAAAGTCTAGTAAATAAACTGATTTTTAACATAATATATATGTTATACATTATAATGTGTTATAATGTTGAAAAGAGGAAAATTTATTCCGTATTTTTTTAGGATATTTCACCTAAACACATTTCCGGATTTTTAAAATATGACCTGGATAATTTATGGTTATGCATTATACATTATAATGTGTTATAATGTTGAAATTATCTTAACAAATATCTTATGTTTATAAAATCACTAGCTCTTTTTAAAAATGGATTTTTATTTGTAGCTGTTACAAGTATCAAACTTAAAATTTTACCAAGGAATATTATTTAGTGAAATCCAATAGACACCTTAACATAATTTTTTATTTTTTATGCTTTTTTGGGTTGCCCTAATTTTTATTTATACATTTTCATGTTTACATAAATTTTTTTTATGTGTACATATGTTTTCTTTTATTTACACATACATTTTTTTTATTTTTATGTATACATTTTCTTATTCTTATGCATATATTTTCTTGTGTTTATGCATATGTATATATATATATATATATATATATATATATATATATATATATATATATATATATATATATATATATATATATATATGTATATATATATATATATATATATATATATATATATATATATATATATATATATATATATATATATATATATATATATATGCATAAACACACTTATACTATATATGTATTTTTTTATGTTTAGGTTAACAGTATACAACGTTCATTTCAAGAACATTTATTAAATAAAAGTCAAAATAAGGATTGTAAGTAAATATTGTATCTTATCTCATTTTTCTTCTTTTAAAAATAAAAGTATAAGAATTTTTATATAAATATGAAATATGAAAATATAATAATATAAATATAAGAAATTTAAGATCATTGCTAATGAGCTTTATATTTTTTTTGTTCTATTATTATCTGGTTTTTCACAAAATTTGTTTGCTGCTTGTAATCTTTTGATTTTAAATCCTGAACCAAATCTATTTTATTATACGATTTTATTATGTGTTTTTATTAGCATGAATAATGCTAATTGAATGTGATGCGAAATTTGTTATATCTGTGAAAACAAAAGTTTATCACATTTTGATGATGACAGATTGTTATGATCTCCTAATGATTTTTTTTGTTAGTCTTCCTGTTGAAAACTGTCCATAAGTTTATTGATTTCTCTGTTCTTACATAAAAAGTTTTAAAAATAAAGTTAAATGACTTTTGTTTATTGTTTCAGTGGATCTTTCCGTTTTTTTTTTTTATATTGGGGAGACTATTTACTTATATACACCTTTAATCCTAAGACCAAGAGTACTTACATGCAAATCAAAAGTTTATTATATGAAGATAATATGGTAAACATGACAATCTCTATATATCAAATATGCTACATTGTTTGAGGAGAGTATACAACCATTATCCAAAGATTTTATCAAGTAAAATAACTATATATGTTTTTTTTTTTAATGATATGGGTCAATTGCATAAGAAAATTTTATAGTCTGATTTATTAACTCGTTTTTTTATAAGTAATAATGTATCATAATAATAAAAACTAAAAACTATTGTTTGAACGAAGGGTGTACTTGAACAGTATGATCCCTTGTTCCTAGGTAAATACACCCTTGATTACTTAATTGTACAAATGTCTAATATCAAGTATTTAGTTTTAAAGGATTTATAATTAAATCTTTTTATTTCTCAAACTTGTTTATAACATTTAAGTATGAATTTATCTAAAATAATGATTAAAAATCATCATTTAAAATATTGAAAAAATATAAAAGTATAAATAGAACAAAGCAAAATTTTCATAAAGTTTAGAAAATGTTATGCATAAATATATTGAAATATAATCTAGAATAATAACAATGCTAGTTGTTTTGAAGCTAAAACAAAATGTTATTTATTTATGACTTATTCAGTTGTTAAGGAATGAGATTGTTTCATCACAATAACCTAGAGTGATTAAGTAGTAAATCTATATAATTTATTATAATGTTTAATTCAAGATCTTCATTTTGGTTTTATAACAGCAGCACATACTGTGTGCATTCTTGCAATCAATTTCAGCAATGATTCAGTTGATATTTAATTCCAGCATGTTTGTATGAATACCCAAAGAGGTTTTTGATTGATTGGTTGCATTTTCTCATATTTCTATCTAACTCATCCCACAACAACTCAATAGGGTTTAAATTGACTGAGGCCACTGAGGAGTTCATTGCATATAATTTAGTTTTATGTTTTTCTTTAGCTGCGATATAATTTTAAAATTAGAAGTGTGTTTAAGATCATTATCCTGTTAAAAAATAAATCCATGACTCACAGCTCTTTTTTCGCATGGAAATTTTTTATTTTACCATATTGTTCTCAATTCAGACCATGACTGGCCCTTTTATTTAGCTGTTTATTATTAATAAAACTAAGAATAATGGTTAATCCTATGCTCAGAAAGAATATATATATATATATATATATATATATATATATATATATATATATATATATATATATATATATATATATATATATATATATTATTATTATTATTATTATTATTATTATTATTATTATTATTATTATTACTATTATTATTATTACTATTATTATTATTATTATTATTATTATTATTATTATTATTATTATTTATTGTACCGCAACAAGCTATAGCTTGTGTAACCAATTCTGGTTTTGGCGGCCTACATATTTACAAATTATTTTGAAATAAGTCAATTAAATGGAAATAAAGCAACGGTAATGGGTATTGTTAAAATTATTAGATATATGTGATACATACATTTGGATATAATTCTTCCAAATTCCTTTCTAAAATGAGTTCCAAATTCTCTATAATAGTATAATTATCTTCTAAAATATATCTTAAAATAGAAAGTTCTTTTTTGAATTTCTCCTTTTCAACATCATTTTCTAAGTGTTTGACAGATTTGAACAATTAGTATTGAAATCATTTGTATTTATAGTTTTTAACTTTTTATTATCGAAAAGAAAACCAAAATTATGATTTAAAAAATTATACAATTTAAACGTTCTTGGAATGAATCTTTTACTTTATCGATTAGTTTATTAAAATAAGATTCTTTAAACTTATCTTCAGCCGGTTGAGTTAGATGGTTATACCCATCATCAATTTCAGAAACAAGATCACGTATACCAATATCATCAAAGCATTTAATTGGATCAATCATCGTCTATTGGTTCAATTTCTTCATTCAGTATATCAATATTGTAATATTTTTCTTTTGCTTTATTTTTATGGTCTATATAATAACAATAGCCTGCCAATCTCTTGAGATTACATATTCTCCGTTTTGACTAAACTAGTTTCTGGTGATTTATTAAAACAATCTTTGCTTCTAGTTAATATTTGAGTACCACAAGAAGATCGTTCAGTGAACTGTGCTATAATATCTATATCTTTTTTTTTTTTTTGTAGTTATTTAGGTGCTCCCAGAAGTCCTTACGGTCTTATCACAGAACACTGCGGGAGAGCATTTAACAGGAAGTTCACGCCTCCTTCTGTACCAATGTCGCTTGTTGGGCTGGAGCTGGCATCGAACCTCCGACAAAATTCGCCGAATGGTCACACACGAGCAGTGAACGCCTGAGGGAAGAAATGAAGTACATTAGAATAAAGGAGAATTATTTATTAGACAAAGCATATTTTGACAGTTGTCAAGACAAAAATAAAGATTAATAGAGGAATATTTAAAAATAAATAAGACAGGCTATACAATTAAAACAGTACTCAACAATAATAACAATAAAAAAAATAAAAAAAAATTAAAAAAAAATAATAATAAAAAAAAAAAAGAAAATGTATATATATATATATATATATATATATATATATATATATATATATATATATATATATATATATATATATATATATATATATATATATATATATATATATATATATAAATATAAATAAAAAATAAAAAAATCTTTTATAAATACCAATATGAACTAAAATATACAAGAAATACATAACCAGTCAAAAATTTGTAAAACAAAAAACCATTCAACAAATTAAAAATATGCTAACAACAATGAAAGGACTGATAATGGAAAAAAAACATTAATGCTAATGTGTAAACATAATTAGTGTAGTGATTAAGTAATAAACATCTCCTCAGAGTCGCGTCTATTATTACTGGCATTTCGATGAGGATCAGCATTTATAACTAGTTTATCCCGTCAGACAAACGTCATCGCCACTTATGCTTTACCCCGCGACTTACGCCTATTCCATTCTGCAGTAAAAAAGGACTCACTACAAATAGCCAAAACCCAACCAACCCCAAATTTGTAAAGCACCAATATATTTTTTTTGATGATATGATATAAAAAGTATAGATTTACTGAACAAACAAAAATAAAAATAACTAAATAAAACACTTACCGTACCACCAAAAGAAAACATGAAAACAAAAAAAATTAAAATTCTAATAGGAACATAAAAATATTAATCAATTTATTTTAAGAAATAAAACCATATAGGTATTATTAACATAAACAAGCCCAAGATAATCAGAAAGCAGTATACCTCATTAAAAATTTTTTTTTAATAAACAAAACAATACCCTTAAATAAACTCTAACGCTGTCATAGATACCTCATTCGAAATATGATAACCAATCAAAAGTGTAGGAAAATGAGTAACCCGCGAAACCCAAAATCATAACAATAATAGAATAATATATGGTAGCGAAAAAAAACGTTGCACAAAAACCTTAAAAATGTAAGCGACATATATGTAAACATTAAATGAAGGATATAAAAATATTCTCTGAATAATAATAAAGATGAAAATTGTGCATGTGAAAATTAAAACAAAGCTGAGTAATGAATGCAAGATAATATAACATGAATGTTTCTGTAAACAGTAATAATATGAATCAGGAGATAAGTAATATATTAATAAATACAGCAATAAGACTAACTAAATATTGTAATAAAACCAGATAATTTTAAGCCAAATGAGTGGTTAAAAAATTAGTTGTGGGTAATATAACAATGATATAAATCGTGATATAAAAACGATGTTAGAAAGCGGGAAAAAAATTAAGAAATGAAGTTTTCTCTACGGTCCGAACTAAATATGAAATCATCAAGAGATAATCGCATTATTATGAAATCATCAATTAACTTGTTTATGAAATCATCAAGAGATAATCGCATAGCATTTGTATGATGTAATGCAATATTAATTGCCATATTTTTTCTCTGAAGCAATTGGCTGAAAATGTGAAGCTATGATAGCAAGTGATACCAAATTGTTGTGAGCACAAAAAATTCATAAGGTTTTTATTTGTTTTATTAAAAATGCAGTTCTGGATATACTTACAAAACAAAACATTTTTTAACCCATATTTGGTTTTGAAATATTTAGAGATGGATAATAAATCATGGATTATCATCAGTTTCAAAAGAAATCAAAGAATTGATTGTATAACTACCAATAAATTTTTCCAATACCAATAAAGAATTCAAAGAATTGATTGTATAACATCAAATAAATTTTTCTTATATAACTACCAGAAAGGCTTGAGCCTTTCTGGTAGTTATACAAGAAAAATTTATTGGATAGATATTTTTAAGTTTATTGCAAGACTAGTTTCTTTTATCGGGTTTTATCTCACAGCATTTATACTTTTAAAGCAATATTCCCATCGAGTATTGATTGGCGCCTTCAGATTAATTTTTGAATATTTTACTTGAATAGCCTATGGTTTTGTTG